GCTTTGGCGGGGGGGGGGGGGGCTGGGCCCACGCATTCGTCGCTGCACCTGACGATTTAGGGGCATGCATCAGTGGGCGCTGTCGTGAGCCCCGCGCCCCCGAGGCGGCCGCCTGTCACCCCTGACGCGCCCTGCATTCACCGCGCGTTCGCCCTGCGCGCGCCCCGTCCGCGCCCCTTGCGTGCCCCTCCGCTGCAGTCGTGCTCCAGGCCACCAACATGTGGCCCGATCCCACCCAGGCGCCCGGCGGCCTGGGCGCCCTCGTCAAGCCGGTGTACCACGTCTGGGGCAAGTTCCAAACGGCAAGTGGCGCAGCCGACCCCGGGGCCGGCGTGTGGCGCACCGGCGCGGTGTTGCACGGCGTGCAGCGTACTTGCGTGCAGCGCGCCATGGCAGCCGCGTGCGGGGAGCTTCGCGCGGCGCGCAGTACCGAACAGTGGTGGTGTCTGGCATCCGAGGGGCTGGACGCAAGGTCCCATGCGCAGGCACATTAGCTTGTTGCCTGGGGGTGCTTGTCGCAGCGGCAAGATCGCCACACCCTGCTCGCTGCTGCCCCATCCTGCCGCAGGGTATCGACGGGACGCCATACAAAGGAGAGGACGGCGCCGCTGGTGGCGCCGTGCACTACTTCGATCAGGCATGCACAGATCGCAGGCGGCAGAATTGCGGCGCATAAGACCGTGCAACGCATGCCGACAGCTGCCTGCGCGCCTCCCGCGGAGTTGTGCGTCAGTTTTCCCTCTGTCCTTTGCTGCCACCCGCAGTATTGGATACGCCAGCTGGGATCGCCGAAGGAGATCAGCGTGACCATGTGAGCCGCTGCCGCTACGTGGCGCCCTATTGCCCCTGTCTGAGCCAGCAGCTAAGCCGGCAAGCCGGTGGTAACCCCTCTTGCTGTGCGCGTGTGATTCGCCTGCCGTACGCCCACGCCGGCCATCGTGATCCCCTGGCCCCTCTGTCCCAAAAACATGGTTCGACTGCAAACCCCCACCCCCCCCTCCCCCCGCCGGCCGTGTGCGTCTGGTGCAGACCTGGCATCAGGGAAGGCTGGTATGAGATCAATGTGGAGGGCTCCCTCACTACGGACATGCCCTCGCTGCTGTCGCTGTCGGGCAACGGCACGTTCAACGCAAACGACACGGACCCCAACTGGATGTGAGCCCCATGGCAGCGGCGGGCGGCGCAGGGGCGTTGGGGGCGCGGCGGGCGGCGCAGGCTGTCGACCGGCGTTGACGAGCCGTACAATCTGGCCTTGCGGCGGCGATCCTTGAAGATACACTGCAGCTTCCTGATTCCGCAGCGCGCCTTGCACTGCCCATTGCGCTTTGTCCTAGCCTCCTCGCCCACACCCCCCGAAATTCGATGCCTATCAGGTACATCCAGCCCGGGGGCACCCTGCAGGCGATGGGGGTTTCGCTGCGGGGACAGCCCAAGTTCAATGGGGCCCTCATCAAGGGCCTCAACGGCAGCAGGATGGGCGTGCAGGGCGGCGCCACGAGCCTCATCAGCTTCGAGGGCCCGCAGCAGTCAATTGAGGTGGGCGTGCATGCCTGGCAGGCCGCCAGTGCGGCGTCGTGGCAGCAGGGCCACGGCCCGTTGCATGGTTGTCAAGGATGCAAAGCCGTCGTTACACTGGCTTTTCTGGGCCAATTTGCTCTTTTGGCCGCCCGTTCAGCCGCTAAATGTTGGATTGATCTCACCTTTGATCAGCAGCACTTACCATCACATGCATGCACGACGTGGCC